CCGCCGCCACAATCCGCGACGCCATGCGCTCGGCGCGCGTCGAGCGCGCGCGCGCGCGCGCGCTCGAGTGCGCGCGCGACGGCGTCTCCGTGCGCGTCGGCGCGTTCGACGCCCACGCCGGGGCGTTTCGGTGCGTCGCGCGCGCGTCGGTGGACGGTGATGTGATGTTCACGTTTCGCTCCTACGCCCTCGACACGGGACGCCGCGTGGACGCCGAGAGCGACGGCGTGGGCCTGGACGTCGAGTGTGATGACGACGACGACGCGCTCGCGTGCGTGATCGACCACGAGCGGGGGGGGTGCGTGTTTTGGTTTCGAAAGGGGGCGACGGGGACGGCGGCGGCGGCGGCGGCGGCGGACGGCGAGACGGCGGACGGATGGATCGCGGATGTCATCGGGGACGTCGTGGGAGGATGCGCGAGCGCGAGCGTGAGCTTGAGTGGTGCGCGCGTGGTGACGGTGTCGAAAGAGGGCGCGGTGACGGTGTTGAATCAAGATTTTTATCCGTTGAGCGAGACGCGATTGACGCGCGACGGCGGAATCGTCGGCGCGTCGACGTCTTGGCGCGCGGACGGGCGGTTTTTCGCGGTATCGTCGACGTGTGAGAAGACGAAAGTGACCACGCTTCGTGTGTTCGACGGTGAGACCGCGGAGTTGGAGAGTGTCGGTGAGGGCGGGGATCGGGCGACGAGCGGGACGCCGGCGGCGCTCGTCGGCGGCGATCGAGACGACCCGCCGCCTCTGGCGTGGCAACCGCGTGGGGCGCTCATCGCGTGCGCTGGGAGAAGTGAGAGTGATGTGAGCGACAGAGTGATCTTCTACGAGCGAAACGGTTTGCGTAGAGGAGATTTCGCGATTCCGGGTCGCGGGACAGAGATTTCGCAGTTGGCGTGGAGTTGCGACTCGTCTCGGCTCGCCGTCGTCGTGCGGTACGCCGACGGCGGTGAGCGCGCGCTACAAATCTGGACGCGGTCGAACATGCACTGGTATTTGAAGCACGAGACGAGATACGACGAGAGCGAAGGCACCGTGCGCTGCGAGTGGGATCTCGAGAGCGGGGACACTATTCGAGCGTACACCGAGCGCGGCCTCATGGAGCGCTTGGATTTGTTCTGGGAGTCCACCGTGAGCGATCGCGGGACGTGCGCGGTGATCGATGGAGACGCTGTGTTGCTCACACCGATGTTTCGCGCCCCGATACCGCCGCCGTTGTGCGCGGCGAAGGTTATTTTCAACGCTCCGGTTGTCGCCGTGGCGTTTCAGCCGGCGACGTCATCCGTCGAACGCTTCGTTGCTCTGTTGTCAACGGGCGAGCTCGCACAGGCGTCGAGCGTTCAGGGGGCGGATTGGGAACGCACCGCAGATGTGTTCGCCGACTCCGAGCGCGCCGCTTCGTGGGATAGGTGGACCGATAACGAAATTCCAGCTGAGACACTCCGAAGCGCAACCGGCGCGTCTTCTGGCGTCGTCGTCGAGCACGTGGCTTTCGTCGGTGACGCGCACGTGGCTGTCTCGTGTACAATAGACGTAGACGTACACGAAATACGACTCATGCCCGCGGACGTCGCTAATGACGCCAACCAGGGCGTGACGAAGCGCGCAACGCGCGAGTCAATCGGGACGCTCGCGAGCGCCAACGGAGTCGTCTTCGCCTTGGCGCGAGATTCCGGTGACGTATACGCAGTCGATTACAACGACACGGCGAGTGGTGGGGGTGAGGCCTTCGACGACGCTCGACGAATCGAGCGTTCTTCCACGGTTTCCAAGTCGGACGCGAAGATTATCGTCGCGCGTGGACTAGACGCGTGCGAGCGATACGTCGACGCGCTCGGCGCCGACTCAGAGGAACCTCGAGGGGCGCTCGTCACCCTGGACGCGCGTGGAGTTCTACGAGTTGGTGATATACTCGTTGCCGAAAACGTCACGTCGTTCGCGACGCACGTCTTCGGCGCGGATGGGTGCGCGGTGACGAGCGCAGAGGCGAGCGAGGCGGTGGCCTCGCTGGCTCGAGATTCATCACGATGGGGAGAAGCGGACGACGCCCCGTCGACGCGATTGGCGTACGTCACTCGAGACCACCGTTTATATGTCGCTGAAGTAGACGACCTCATCGCGAACGGCTCTCGCGAGCGACGCCAGGTTGGGGATGCGAGCGCGGACGACGCGCACGTGGGTAATTGGTTGGCGGAGCGATCCGCCGCGGACGGAGCGCGCATGGGCGAGATCGCTTTGCACAGCGATTTGCACCAGCGAATGCGACGAGCGATGCGTCCGGAGGCGGCAAAGATGGCTGCCGACGCGTCGACACGCGTCGTGGAGGAGGGCGCGATGATTGTCGCGTGCGCTCCGGGCGCGACGACCGTCGTCCTGCAAATGCCGAGAGGAAATTTGGAAACGGTGGCGCCCAAAGCGTTAGTTTTGCCAGCGTGCGCATGTTCACTACGCGCCGGTCGATATGCTGACGCGTACGCGCTTGCTGCGAAACAACGTGTCGATCTGAACCTCATCGTGGATTACGGCTGGCCAAAGTTCTTGAGCGTCGCGGACGATTTTGTCGCCGACATCAATTCTCCCGAGGCCGTCATGGAACTCCTGGAGGCTTTGACAGAGAGTGATGTCACCGCTGAAGGAGGGATTTACGAAGAACTGGCGCGATTATACCCGCCGAGAGCGACTGACGGCGCCGTCGAGACGGCGACCCTCGCGGGTGGAAAATCTCAAGCCGTGTGCGCGGCGATACGAAGCGCCATTGAACGACTCGGCGCCGCCGGTGATAGATGGGAACTTGCCGTTCTCACCTCGTACGCCTCTGGAGACGACCCTGATCTCGGCTCGGCGCTCAAGCGAGTTGCCGTCATTCGTGAGCGCGAGCTCGCAGATGCGGCGGCGAACGCCATGCAGGTTTCTTCCACCAAGTCGCGCCTGACATCCATAGACGCGGCGGTGGCACTCAAGCACTTGCTCTTCCTAGTCGGCGCCGAGACCCTCTATAACGCTGCGCTCGGGACGTACGATTTGTCCTTGGCGTATCTCGTGGCGCAGCATGCGCAGATGGATCCTGGTGAATACGTCGCCGAGCTTGAGACGTTCCAATCCATGCGAGAGCACCAGCGACGCGCCTCGATCGCGTTAATGTTGGGACGGCACGAGGAGGCAATCACGGAGTGTTTGCTCGATGGAGACGTCGACGGGGCGGCTTCGCTCGCGTCGGATCAGAAGATGTTCCCATACGCCCTCGCTGAGGCGCTGCGCTTGCAAAATGTGGACGCGCGTCGCGCGCTGCTGATCAAGTTCGCCGAGCATCTCTCGCGTGGATCCCGCCACGAGGATGCCGCCATCGCTCGTCTTGCCGCGGAAGACGTCCCCGGCGCGCTGGAGTCGTACAGACTCGGCTCGTGCTGGCAACAGGCTCTCACCCTCGCTGGCCGGCTGAAGATGTCCGCTGCCGAGCGTCGCAACATCGCCGAAGAGCTGTGCGAGTCACTCGCGATGACGGATCCACTCGCAGCCGCGCGCGTCGCAGCGAGGCACCTTCGAGACGCCGAACGCGCCGTCGAGCTCCTGTGCCGGTCGGGCGCGTGGCGAGAAGCGTGCGAGACGGCGTATTCCGACGACCGCGGCGATTTGTTGGAAACAACCATCGCGCCCATGTGCGCGGGCGCCGCACAGGAGCACTTCGAGTCCTTCAAGGAAAACAAAGCGCGCGCCGAAAAGTACTCGTCACGTCTCAGGGACTTGCGCAAGCATCGCGCGCGTGCCGAGCAGGCGTTGACTCTAGAGTTCGCCAATTGGTCCGCGTTGGGCGGATGCCCGAATGCCGGAAACGACGGCGACTTCGAAATGGACGACGCCATGAGCGAGGCACCGAGTCTGGCTAGCGGCATGAGCGCCTATACCGATCGTACCGGATTGACGTCGGCGGTGAGCGGTACCTCGGCGGCGTCAACCGTGGGTGGTCGCAAGGCAAAGAGGAAGAAGAAGGACAAAAAGGCCAAGCTCGGGCGAGGCCTGCGCGCGGGTTCGCCCACGGAGGAGCGCGATTTAGCCCTACACGTCGTCGCTCTAGCGCCGATGAGTAAAACGCTCGAAGAAATCGGCGAGTTGCTCGAGATCTTGGTGCTCTTCGGGCACGAGGACGATGCGCGCGCGTTACAGCGCGTCGTCGGCGAATGCGTGGACGCGCACGTCGCCGCGACCAAGGACGCCGAGACGAGCCTCAAGGAACTCAAAGATATCGCGTTGCAAAAAAGTGAACCCACGGACGCGTTTGAGCGGAAAGACGCGCTCGGCGACGCCGCGCTCGAGTGGAAGTGGTCGCTCCTGCGCGCGGTGGGGAAGTAGAATGTAGTACGCGAGGCTCATCGCGACGGTGAGCAAATTCGTGAACGTTTGTGTTAAAAGATTTCTGTAGCCGTCTGAGAGATGACGTTCCCCCAGCGCGTCGTAAATCATCGATCGAGCGCGACGATCTGATTATGCAAATTATCGGACGGCGTCCACCACGAGTCGCCGAGACTTGAGGTGACTCCAGGCCCATCGCTTATAGTACACCGCCTGCACGCACACGAGCGACAAGGCGAAGATCCACTTCGCCCCCATGAGCTTGCGATCGTCCATCTCCGGCTCAGCCGCCCACGCGAGGAACGTGGTAACATCCTTCGCCATCTGCGTCTCCGTCGCCGGCGTCCCGTCGTCGTACTCCACCCCGCCGTCGACGAGCATCTTCGGCATGGCGATGAACCCTCCCGGAAAGTACGGGTTATAGTGCATCCCATCCGGCACCGTCACCCCCGCCGGCGGATCTCGATACCCCAACAACAGCGCGAACACATAATTCTGCCCGTCGTGCCTCGCCTTGGTCATCAACGACAGATCCGGAGGGTACGCCCCGTTATTCGCGAACCGCGCGCCCTCTTCATTCGCGTACGGGCTCGGTATCCCATCGCTCAGCTTCCCCGCGCGCTCGAACATCTCCCCCGTATCATCCGGTCCATCAACCACCTCCGTCTCCTCCGCCAGCGCCTTCGCCTCGAGCTCGGTGTACGCCACGCCCACGAGGTTCCGATACTTTATCTGATTCAACGAGTGACACGCCGCGCACACCTGCGCGTACACCTGATGCCCCCGTCGTATGCTCGCGTGATCGTAGCTCGAAAACACCCCATCGTGCGGCCACGCGTACTGGGGCAACGCCAATCCGTGCTCGGCCTCGTCCGCGGCGACGACGCACGCCGTGGCCGCCGTCGCCCCCGCCCCGATCGCGATCGTCCCTCGCGTCGTTCGCGTCACCCCACGGAGCGCCCCGAGCGCGCGTTCGCGCAGCGCGCGCGCGAACATGTTCCGCCGTCTCGTTCACGCCGTGCGCGCGCGCTCGTCGTGCGTGCGCGCGCGCGACGCGGTCTGACGAGTCGTCGATCGCGTTCGATCGCGATCGCATCCGAGCGGGGTGGGCGTCGGGGGCGTCGTCTAAACCCTAATCCCACCGCGACGTGAAATTTATGCGTCATCGATATACGGGTGATCGCCGTGATCGCCTTCGTGAGTGTTAAATACGACGACGCAAACGACTTCGATCGCGCGCGGTCGCGTCGCCCGTCGCCGCGCCCGTCATCGCCGCGCGTCCGCGCCCGCGCGTCCTCGCCCGAACGCGGTCGCACGCGTCGGTGCGCGGCGCGCGTGCAGGACGACGGACGCGACGCGCGCGGTGCGGCGGCGTCGATCGGCGATCGGGGCGAATTCGCGCGACGGCGGAGGTCGATGACGCCCGCGCCGTCGACGCACACGCAGGCGGTGATCGTGGGCACGATCGCGTATTACCTCGGGAAGAAGGCGGATGAGTATCACTCCCATCGATGGACGGTGTACGTGCGAGGGGTGGACGGGGAGGATCTCTCGCGATGCGTGCGGGCGGTGACGTTCGCGCTGCATCCGAGCTTTGACGAACCGACGCGGAGGTTGGAGCACGCGCCGTACGAGGTGACGGAGACGGGATGGGGTGAGTTTGATATAGGGGTGAAGATTGAGTTCACGGAGGATTCGGGGGCGGGGTTCGTGGAGACGACGACGCCGTTGAAGTTGTTTCCGAGCGCGGAGGAGATCGCGAAACACGGGCAGCAGACGACGAAGAAGCCGTTGATCAAGGAGCGGTACGAGGAGATTGTTTTTCACGAGTGTGAGAGTGGGTTTTATAAGCGGATGAAGGGACAGGCGGCTAAAAAGGCGCCGAAGAGCGAACACGACGCCGTGTGGGGGTCGTTCAAGGAGAAGCCCGAGTTGGTGTCGATTTACGCCGCGAGAGAGGTCACGAGAGAGCGGATAAAGGTCTTGAAGCAGCAATTGGAGGTGTTGGAGAGCATCGACGCGAACACGTAAGACTATCTCGAGATACGAACGGTTTTGATTAAAAGACAACATGTGATAGCACTACGACGCGCCCGCGCTCGGCGCGGTCGCTCGCCCGTTTTTTCCCAGAGCGCGCGCGACCGAAACTTCACACACGCGCGCTCGAACGCGCGCGCTCCATCGTCCGAGCGATAATTCTCAATGCGTCACATCTCTCGTGAGCGCGAGCACTACCTCGACGCCGTCGACGACGCGCTCGCGCGGAACGCCAAAGCATTCAAGGAATCGCTCGAGCGTTTTCACGAAAAACGCTCGCCTCCCAAATGGTGCGTTCACTGCACCTCGGACGTGCACACCGATTTCGCGAAAAATGCGGCCGAGCTGGATCGTTACGTGGAGGATAAAATCGCCGAAAACGACGAGCGACGTCGGAGGGGTGAAAACGTCTCGAGCGCGATCGTCGTGGCTGGAGACGTGTGCACCGGGATTGAGCGTCTGCGAACAACCATGGTTTCGCTTCGCAAATGTCACGACGCCGTGTTCTACCTCCCAGCGGGGAACCACGAGCTTTGGGTGTCAGGTCAAGGTATATACGATGATTCACTACACAAGATGATCGAGCTGATCGACGCGTGCACGGCGTGGGGGGTGTCGTGCGCCCCGACGCGTTTATCGCAGACGCTCGCCGTGGTTCCCATCTACGGTTGGTACGTGGACGAATTTTGCGACGATCCGTGGCGAAGATCGAGCGCGTACACCGATCTAGAAAGGAATTTCGACGCCGCGTGCTCGTGGCCACCGTTCATCAATCCTCCCAGTGAGGCGAGGAATTCACACGCGCCGGGCATCGCCGCCTTCATGCGCGACGTCAACGCGCGCGCGCTGAAAAGGTTTGCCTCCGTCGTTCGTACCGAGCGAGACGACGCGACGACGATCGCGTTTTCCCACTTTCTTCCAAGACCCGAGCTCTACCGCGGGAATCCGGCGCTCATGAAGGTCATGGGTAACGTCGCCATCGACGCCGACGCGCGCGCGTGGAACGGATCCATCCACGTCTTCGGTCACAGTCACTTGAACGTCGACCGCGTCATCGACGGCGTGCGCTACGTCCAGTGCGCCTTGGGGTACCCGCACGAGCGCTGGTTCGGGTCAAATCATCCGAAGTTGCTCCATCGCGATGCGTCCTGACCCATTGGCACACGCGCGCTCGCGCGTTTACGTCGATGCGACGCTTTGACGCTCCGGGACGCTTCTTCGCTTCACAACTCGACGCGACGGCGTCCGTCGCGTCCATCGCGCGCGTCGTCCATGACGACGCGCGCGCGCTCTCGCGTCGACGGTCGCATCACGTCCGACGTTTTGATCGACGCTAGACGCGTCGCGATGCGGAATCGACGCCGCGCGTTGACGATCTCTCGCGCGGTTGGCGGATTGATAATCTTCGCCTTTGCGTCCCTCGCGTCTTCAGCGCACGCGATTTCGCAGACCGGATCGGCGACGCTGGACAGCGAACGCACGGAAGTGTTATTGAGTAAATTCAGTGTGTCGAAAAAAGGCGGAACGCTGCGATTGAAGCTGAACACGGCCAAGGCGGGATGGGAACGCGGGTCGCACTCGCTCGAGCTCTTGGCGTTGCGCGAGGACGAGTACTTTGAGTGGAAGGCTATGATTAAGAAGGGATCGCTGTGTCGAGATCGAAACGCAAAGTGCTCACAGAGACACGAGATCGCGCTGCCGCATCCGATGGCAACGCACGTGGCGAAGGGGTACGAGTTTTTTATCGACCCGGAGAGCGGCGATAGCTATCGAATGGACTTGATGAGCGGGAACACGACGTGGATGCATCCGAGCGCGCATCACGAGCAGGCGCAAGCGATTCACCATCGAGAGACGGCATTGGACGTAACGCTAAAGGATGTGCGGACTACGACGATGCGGCAGCGACAGGTGGAGTACGGCGTGGCGAGTAATTGGTTCATCGTCCTGAGCGATTGCGCGTTGGAGTTTTATCAGGCACATCCGCCGACGCTGCACTACGACTTGGAACTGTTGAACAACGAGAAACATCTCCCTGAGGAGCTTCGAGGACTCGGGACCATTTATGCTTTCTCAACGATTGGGATGTCCGCGACTTTTCTCGCGTTCGGGGTGCTGACGTTTCAGCAATATGAGCGGACGAAGAGCGTGCACGCGCTCGTGCTCATCCTGCTCCTCGCGCACGGAGCGCAGGTCGCGTCATTGATGTTCGAGCTCATGCACATCACCGTCTTCTCCTTGAATGGAAAGGGGTTACGCTGGCGTTACAGTTGGTTCGCAGCCGATTTCATGTCCGAGATGTTACAAGGCGCGAGCGAGTTCATCGTCGAGTTTGTCCTGTTATTCCTCGTGTGCGGCTGGACGACTCTGTCGATGACAGTTGGCGGTCTCGGTGGTTCCCTTTTCGCGTCGCTCGAGTCGGGCGGAGGTGCCGCCGCGAGTCGACATCCGCCATCCGGAGCGGGCGGGCGGCAATCCACCAGTCTCGTGCTCTCGAGCGTGCTAAAATCCTTCTTCAAGGTGAACGCGGATGATCCGGCGGTGAAATATCGCGTTGAGCTTGTCGCCGGCGCGTTGCGGTCCCCGGTGAACATGCTCAAGCGCGGGGCGGAGACCACGATTGGGGTGGTGATTTTAGTCTTCTTCGCACTCGTACACGTAGTGCTAGAGCTCATGTCTCGAAGGTATAACGAGAATTTTGAGGTGTTTCACGACCACGATCACTGGCCTGGGTATGCGTTGGCGCTCATGCGCGTCGCCTTCGCGATGTTGTTCATAGTCGCCGGAGGGTCCACGTACGCGACGGCGAAAAATCAGGACCCGGCATTGGCGTCCTTCATTAGAAATCTCCTCGCCGTCGGCATAGTTTGGCTCTTGGCGTTTCCATTCGTAATTTTCACTGCAAGTGGCGTGTCGCTGCTCTGGCGCGTGCGATACGTCGCTGGAGGGTGCGCGTTTCTCCAGTGCACCGCGCTCAGCGCGCTCGGACTTTTAGTTCTCGTGGACGAGTCGTTTAAGAAGTTGAGCTCGGTCGCGAGCGATAGTGGGGCAAAGAGCACGCTCGGGCGTCGTGGATTCCGCGCCAAGGTGGCGATTGATTGACAAGCGCGTTGATTTGTACACATGAAAATGACGCAAGTGTTTGAGTTCTCACTACTTCACGCGACCGAGCCTGTAGTCCTCGTCGTACGCCCACCTTTGGTAATCTCGCGCCAAACCGCCCACGAAGACGCTAGACAGAATGCGCAGCGTGGTCCCGAGAACGGCGTCGCCGACGCGCTGGGTCATAGATTTTGGGAGCTTCGAGAACGGTCCCGGCGGATCGACGCCGACGCCAATATCCGTCCATCCCATGATGCACGGCCCTTCGCTCGTTTCCTTCTCAGTCGCCCGATCTTCATCATCCTGGAACCCGGTTCTCGAAAGCGCTGGTCCGTCCAAGCTGCCGTCACCGTACGAACGCCATCTAAACGCCGTCGTCCCTCGATTGACGAACATGTCGTTCAATCCCAAACTTTCGCACGTCTTCCCTTCCACGCGCGCTCGGATCACCTCGATCAAAACGCACGGACCCTTGATCACCACCCCCATCGTCTCGGGCCTCTCTTTCTCCCTATCCTGCGATTCATCCCACGTCCGTCCGTGCCACGTCTCCACCTGTTCGTCGTTCTCCAAGCACCGCACCCGCACGTCGATCACCGGCGCCACCTCCAGCGACAAAAACTTCAATCCTGGGATCGACAACCGGAACTCCTCGTCCCTCGACCTCGGCGCCGCACCAGATCCATCTTCGTTCCCTCCACCGCCCACCTTCTCCATCGTCGCCCCGAGCGGAAGCGGCACGTCGACGTACTGCGACACCGGAAGCCGCATGTACGCGTCCAGGCTCAACGACGCGTCATCCTTCCGCTCATCCACCGCCGATCGCACCTTTGCGTGCGCTCGCAAGTTGACGTCATACGAACGACACATCGTATCCGTGCACGCCTCTCCGTACGCGTTCTCTCCCTCGCGCGGCGCCAGGGACTCGAGCGATCGTTGTTCGTCGCCGTCGGTGGCGATCGCTTCGCGCGGGACGACGCGCCGGTTCTTCGCGCCCGTCATCCGTCGCGGCGTCGCGCGCGAGCGACACGGTTGATCGCGCGCGACGCATCGCGTCGTCGTCGCGCTCGAGCGCGCGCGCATCGCGGCGCGGTGTGCCCCGCGCGGGCGCGATCGACGCTCGAATCGTGTGTACAACCTAAACCCTATACCCTCGTCCAACAGTTCTCTCTAAACCCTAAAACTAGGGGTTTTGGACGCCCCGAGCGCGCGTCGGCCGCATCGTCTCGATCGTCGACGCCGCGCCATGCCCGACCAAGCCTCGCCCTCGTGCGCCATATGCCTCGAAGACATCGTCAACGACGCGGGCGCGCTGTACGACGCCCCGTGTTGCGGCGCGCGCGCGTCCGAGAGCTCGGTACAATTTCACGCGACGTGCGTCCGCGCGATGTGTTCGATGTCCACCGACGGCGTCGCGGCGTGTCCGAGGTGCCGAAGCGCGATAAAAGCGCGCGAATCGCGCGACCGGGAGACGCCGGTGACGTTCGTCGCGGCGGAGGCGACGAATGTGTGCGTGGTGTGTCGACAGCGGCGCGCGCTGGGTACGACGTGCGACGCGTGCGGCGGCGCGGTTCGATTGCGGTACGTGTGCGAACGGTGCGGACGAACGCAGGTGATCCCGCATCCGATGTGGCGGTACATGCCGAGTGGACCATTTTCGGTGAGTGCACAGACGTGGGCGTGCCATCGTGGGTGCGGGGATTACACGCGTTGGACGGTGCATCCGGAGGACGCGGCGCGGGTGCCTAGATACGACGTCCCGCGAGGCTGGGGAAACGAAGAAGAGTGGTACGCGGCGATCAGGGATGAGATGGAGCGACGGGCGAGAACACCGAGGAGGGAATCGAGGTGGCTCGTCGTCGCGGCTGTCGTGGCGTTTTGCGCGTTCGTCGTCGCGGCGGTGTTCGCGAACGGCGGCGAGGGCGGAGACGCGAACGTTCAGGTGGAGGCGACGCGCGCGTATCGAACGGTGACGACGCGAACGAGAGCGATTCATTCGTCATCAAGCGGCTCGACGAGAAATTCTGAAGCGTCTGCTTCGTCGCGAGACTCGGCGGCGTATCGCGCCGCGGCGATGCGCGGCGCCAACGTCACCGCCGCAGATTTGTGAAAACATGTAATGATATTGACTAATAACAGCTGGCAACGCGCAAACATATATTATATCTACTGCTCGGACACCTCCGGGAGGGTCGATTCCGGGAAGTCTGTTTCGATCGGCACGACGGCTCCATTGAATAATTTATCCTCGCCACTCGTGATTTTCGCTCGATCGATCACGGCGTTGGTGCCGATCGAGCCGAGGTATTCCTCGCCCTTCGTGACGTATCCGAAGACGGAGAACTCGCCCTCTTCGAACGATAACCCTCCCAAACCGGCGCTCCGCTTATCGAACAAGTAGACGAAGAATTGATCCTTGTCGCTCTGTCCGTCGCTCGATCGAGCCATGGCGACCGAGCCGTTGATGCTCAGCGGGATGCTCGGAATCGCCTCGCCGTTCTGTACGTCCAAAGGAAATCGATACGACGGATCGAACGCATCGCTCGCCTTGATTTCGAGCGGCACGCTCGGCGCGTCGGGATTACTCGCCCCGCCGAGAATAGCCGTCTCGCTCCTTCGCATGGGCGCATTTCGATACACCCCTCGCCGTACGTTATCCACAAAGTTCCCCGCCGTGAGCGGTGCGTTGTACCCATCGACCGTGATCTCTAGCGTGGCTTCGTTCAACTTCTCGCCGTTCAACAAACCGAAATTAGACCCATCCTTGTTCCGCACGACGATTTCCACAGTCGCCCGTCCCACGAGCTTGGGCAGATCCGTGTACTTTTGCGGAATCTGAAACGGTAACCCGGGCGCTTGCGCCACCTGCAACACGCTCAAATCCTCCAACGCGCTCGCGATTTGTCCATCGAACGCGTCGAAATCTTGCGTCGCCGCCGCTCGGCTCAGTCGCTCCAGCGCGTTCGTCAACCGTTCGTACGCCGCCTCCGCCTCCTCTCGATCCTTCTCCTGCACCGGCGCCAACACGTCCGCCTTCTTTTCACTCAAAACCCGACGACTTTCGTCCACGTCCTTCGCCATGGCGCTCCACGGCTTTCTCTGCGGGATCCGTAATAGGTACGCCGCGTCCTCCAACCGCGTCTGGGCAAACTTCGTCTCTTCGTTCACCGCCGGCACCGCCCGTCTCAGAGCCGCTCTCGCGCTTCGCGGTAACCGCGTGTTCGGGTTGTTGAGCGCCGCGAGAGATGACTCACACGACGACGTGGAGATCACGAGGGCGAGCGCGAGCGCCGCGCAGCGTCGCGCGAGCGCCGCGCCCAGAGTAATGCAATCTGATTCACGCTCGATTCTCGTCGCCGTGCGCGCGGTTCGCACGCGGTGCGAGCGCCGGTGGACACTCGCGGTGGCGCGCGCGCGCTGGGGAGCGAACGAGGCGCGGGCGGTCGCGAGCGACATCGCGAGTCGGCGTGTGACGGACGGCGCGAGCGGGACGCGGTGGATTACGCGATGACGCGCACACGTCGGTTTCGTCGTTTCAAGCGTATCACGGGGTTCATCTGTGTGTGCGTTACGGGTTTTACACTCGATCGTCGACGATTGGGGCTCAGGGACCGGCGCCGCAGTACCTACGAACCATCTCGCGCGCCTTGACGTAATCGACGACGCGAAAGTTCCTCGCGCGCTCGTCTTGAGATCGCTCGCTCAGTTTCGGAGGAATGAGAACGTCGAGGGTTTGTCTCCAACCCGGTAAACCGCGCTCGCACGCGATCCAGGGGCAGTACGAGGCGTGTTCGTTGACGACGTCGAAGAGCGTCGATCCCGGCGGAGGTTCGAGCTTGGCGTCCGGATCGAGTGAGGCGACGCGCCGTCGCTTCTTCGTGCGCTCGGCGAGTTTTTTCGTCATCGCCGCGACGACGACCGAGGCGAATTTCGACCCGTCGTGCGCATCGTCGTGCGTGGTGACGGGCCGAGGCGAACCGAATAGCGGTGTCGATGACGTCGTAGCGCCGAACGGCGCGGCGTTCGGCACCGCGTCACCCCGCTCACCACCGCCCGCGATAGACATAAAGAGCTTCGATTCCACGCTTGCCGCCGCGGTTGCGGCGATCCAATTCGCCTTGGCGCTGTGCGACTTCTCGTTTCGCAACTCTGGCGCAAACGGCGTCTTCGTCGACGAAGTCGTTGATCCCAATCCGTACGAACCGCCCGCCGCGCCGCGAAGCGCGGCGAGGGTCGTCTTCGGTCTCTTCGCAGACTGCTTCTTCGAGGACGCACTCATCCGCTCCTTTCGCGTCGCGCTGATCGAGGTAAAGATCCACTCTGGAGACATCGCGCCGCACAGCGCGCACGCGTAACATCGCCGACTCGCGTCGTCGTCGACGCTCACCGGGGACCACCCGAACAACGCCATCAAAGTCGCGTGATCCACCACCGTTCTCCGTTCGAGCGGAGTCGAATCATCTGCATTTCGATCGTCTCCCGCTGCGCTCGTCTCCGCGTCCTCCGCGTGCGCGCGCGCATCCGCCACCAACGCCCGCGCTCGATCCGCGACGTCATCACTCATACCCGCGACCCGCCCTCGAGCGCAATCCACGCTCAAAACGTCCACGCACATCGGAACTCGCGACTTGCCTCTCGCGATGCCGTCGACGCGCGACGCGAAATCGCTCCGCGTCGTTCCGTCGTCCGCCGCCAGCGGAAACGCCCGCGCCGCGCGTCCGCACGCCGTCTCTCCCCACGCACAGTTCTCATCGTGACCCGTGATCAGCATCCCAGCCATCTCTTCGTCCAACGCCCGCTTACCTCGGTCATCCAAGGCGTCGTAGCCGTCCGCTTTCGGGTAACACAGCGCCGCGCCGCACGTCTCGCAGGTCAACGCGTCCCGCTCGCCTCGCACGACTTTCCACCCGCGGCTCGCGCACGCGACGGCGCCGAGGAGCGTTTCATTCTTTCCGAACGTCCACGACGCGCAATCGGCGAAGGTGCGGAGTCGGGCGAAGTAATCTGCGCTGGAGAGCGGACGCGCGGGCGTCGCGCGGGACGGCGACGCAACCGCGCGTCGACGATCGAGCGACGCGTCGAGGGAATCGGACGTCGGCGTCGGGGCCTTGACGTCGCTCGCGACGAGGGACATGCTCGCGGGGCGCTCGACCCGGTTCGGCGACGCGCGTGGTGCAATGACGCGATCGTCGAAATGAATTCTTGTCTGCGCGCGACGCGGTGTCTTTGGGACGTTTTTGAATCAAATCGGTAGGATTATCGCTTCCGGGCCTCAGCCTTGCGCTCGGTGATCCAGGCGCTTATTCTCTCCCGTAGTTCATCGTCGGGCACGAGCTGATCCGCGGTGAGCGGTTGCCTGGAGAACGGGTCGGTCTCGTCGCTGAGCAAATGTCGAGTGATGATACTTCTGTCGCACGAGTGCCCGGATGGAAGCTTCACGGGGTCACGCATGAGCGTGCTTAGGATCGGGTCGAGGAAGTCGTCCGGGATCTCTCCGAGGTCGGCTTCTTCCTCGGCCTCCTCGCTCGCGCGATCGCGAACGTCCTTGGCGAGCGCCTCGAACGCGTCGACGTGCGCGCCGTCTCGCAACCCGAGACCTCTGACGACGTTCGCGGCTTCCACCATTACGTCATCGCGGTACGAACGACCGTCGGCAGCGATGGCGGCGATGAAGACTTTATCTTTGTCCGCGGCGTAGATCTGGACGTAGACGTCGGAGATGGTGGCGAGCAACTCCTTGGGGTCCCAGCCGTACTTTTCAGGATTTTTAATCTTCAACTGGCGTCGCTCCGGCCCAGCCAGGAAGAGGAGGAAGTAGTTGAGCATGGCGGCCACGCGCTCGACCATCTCGGGCCGTAAGAATGGATGGGCGATCTCTCGAGAGGTGTATCCCATCATGCGCACGTGCACCATGGCCAGGGTGAGGTTGGATCTCAAGTGACGCCGCGTCTGGCGAAACGCCGACTCGCGCTCTTGACGCTCCTGTTGCGGTCTCGCCGCCCACGACGTTTGATCCTGCATGTCCGTCTCGATCTGTCTAACTTCGGGAAGCTTTTTCATCGCCTCATCCAGCAAGTAAATCGCATCGTTGATGAGCATGTTCAAAAAACGCGTGTAAAACTCTGGATCGTCCCTCGCAAGTTTGATCCACGCGCTCTTGTGTGCCGGCACCGACCACAGGTACTCGCAGAGCTCTCCGATCTGATAGCGAACGTTGAACTTCTCGTAAAACTGATTGTCCGTGCCCGTAAACTCGATGTCCACGTAGAGGTGCAGCAAGCTCGGAATCATGTTGACCAGACTCACCGGGTTGACCTCGAACAAACTGAGCAACTTTTGCGATTGGTATCCACCCTCAAAAGGAATCCAGTGTCTCAAAACCTCGACGAACTTGCACCGCAGATACGGGTTCTTCACGAACGTCGTGTTCCCCATGAATGTGATGAAAAAGTTCATGATCTCATCCAGGGGTTCGTGCTCGAGCGAGTCGAGGGAATAGCGCGAGATGTACAAAATGAACTCCACCATGTCTTCGACGATGTACTCGGGCAGACACCCGAATGCCACCGGGCACGCCTCTGGAATCTTATCCATGGCGATCTGTGTGAACATAAAACCGTGTCCTTCTTCGTACTGGCCGTTCGTCGCGATGATGCGCATGAGCCAGACCGCGACGAGACGGTAATACTGCATCGCTTCGCTGATCAAACGTGGATCGCGAAGAGCGCAGTCGAACTGAAATGTGTGCGCCGTCGCCTGATCGAGCTCACTCTTCATCTCTTCTAGCCTGCGTTCGTATCTAGCCCGATCAGGCAATTGCATCCACTGCTCTCGCCTGCCCTCGAAATCTCGCACGGCATCTTGCATGTCTTGAATCTCTCGACCCGTTTGCGAGAGCTCGTTGATGCACTTGACGTATCCCAAATGAAGCGCTCGACCGGTGATGTAAAAGCACTCGCAGATGAACCCCCAGTCATCTTTGTCCTCCGACGTCGAAAGTTTCGCCGCGGCCGCTTCCTCAGCCGTAAGGGCGACTCGCGTCTCATCGTTCAGGCTAATCCTACACGCGCGGCTTCTAACGTACTCGGGCGCGATTTTATCGTACTTGCCCGATTGCGGATCCAAAAATGGCAGCGCCAATCGAAGCGCGACGACGCTGAGATTGTACGCGCCCCCGTGCGAGGTGACAACCTGCGGCTGAATTCGCATCTTCCCTCTCCCCGCGTTCACTTTCAGAAAGGCATCTAAAAATTCGAGCACGCCTGTTCGCACCTCGCCGCCGTGCTTGAGCAAAACGAAGAGGATCTGGTATAATCCCTCGACGAGACGACCGACGCACCCACGAAGCATCGTGTACGACGCCTCGACTTCGCGCTTTGTTCGCTTCTTCGAGCTTTGATCGCCAAAGTACGCTTCCACACAGTCAGGCTCGCCACAACCGAAGATGTCCGGGAGCACGCTCGGGCGCAGGAACCATCCCAGCACGCTCTCTGTCTCAAATTGTCTCCCGTTGATCGCGCTCAGGTGCGCCTTCATCGGCACCCACCGCTTGTGTTTCACCAGCGCTCGCGCGAACGGTTTCACCGCGCACAGCTGATACATCGTCTTCAGATGTCCGTCGAACTCGGCGAGTGGACTCATCCAACGCGTCGACACGCGCAACTCATCAAACAGCTTCTCCGCGACGTCCTCCAACCCCTCGTTCTCCTCCAACTTGACCGCCAAGCGCTCGAGATACCCATTCGGAATCCCATTCATCGATCGCATCGCGTCCAACAACACACCGCACCCTCTGGATAACGCTCGCTCGCTCCTCGGGAACGTCCCGACGAGCGCCGGATTCAGCAACATCCCGCCGTACGACGCGCAATAATCCATCACGTTCTCCATCTCCGCCGCGATCGCCGCGCTCTCGCCATCTCCTTTATTCTCACACCGTCTCCACTCGTCCAACGCCCGTCTGTACGTCTCCACCGTCCACGCGTACCCATCTTCCTCCTCCGCGTCGCTCGACGCCCGCGGTTCTCGCGTCAAGCGCGCGAAAATCACTCGTTCCAGATTCTCCCCGCTCAGCGTCGCCGCCGTCCCGATCTCACGCGCGAGCGCATCGAGGACCACCACGCACCCCTCCGCGACGTCCTCGCGCGGTCCCAACGCGCACCTGCGTCGCTCGCCGTCATTCGATCGCTCGTCAGTCGTCGCTCGCGCGCTCCAATCATCGCATTCATCGCCCTCCCGCCCTCGCCTCGCTCGCCCGCGTCGTCGTCATCGCGCACCTCGCGACGCGTTCGATCACCCTCGACGTCATCACCGCGCTCGACGCGTCGTCCATCGCGCGCGCGCGCGTCACGGTGTGTCGATTCGTCGTCAATCATCGACGACCGACGGTGCGCGCGCGTTCGACCCACGCGCGCGCGTCCGATCGACCGAGCGCACCGTCGACCGATCGCGCGACGTCGTTCGCGTTCCCCGCGCCCGCGCGCGGGTCGATCCGACGCCGCGCGCGCGCGTGGGCGACGGATGTCGATCGTCGATGTGATGGCTGTCGAGACGACGCGCGCGCCGTCGTCGCCGCGCGCGCGACGCCGCGCTCGACCGCGCGCGATGGGCGTCGACGTATGTGACGTCTCCGCGCGCGCGTCTTCGCGCGCGCGGCGGTCGATCGCTCGGATACACGGTGGATGGGGCGTCGCGCCGCGGGTGACCGTTCGTCTCCCGCGGCGCGCGACGCGAACGCGCGGCGGACGGTCCACGCGCACTCCGCGACGCGCGACGACGGACGGGCGACGATGGAAGGTGATGACGACGTCGCGACGGCGCGCGCGCGCGCGATGGGACGACCGAAGATGTTGGACCTCGAGGCGATCGCGCGGCGCGGACGGCGGGCGGAGAGTCCGAACGGCCCGCTCGGCGCGTCGACGGATTCGTCGCGATCGAGCGATGTCGCGAGCGATTCGGAGGAGGCGAACGGGATGATGCGGGGAGAGATGACGCGGGCGTGCGTTTTGAGACTCGTGGATCGTGGAGAGCTTCGACGAGAGGTGACGACGCGGGTGGCGCGGCGCGAGGCGGCGCGAAGACGGCGCGTGGGCGACGAGACGTTCGTGTGCGCGAGGGCGCGGACGCCGATCGAGCGACGGAAGTGCGAGGCGGCGCGGACGTATCAGATGCATGTGCTGAGATCGGCGGGGACGTTCGATGCGTGCGTGGGATACGGCGCGGCGCAGGCGTGCGAGGACGACGTGCGTCGCGTGAGCGCGGATCCCGGAACGGAGGAGTATTACGTCGCCAGCGAGAATCCGTTCGATGATAAGGTGTACGGCGTCATGCGCCTCGTTCGATGTGGGGTAAGAGAAATTATCGACGATCGCTTCGACGCCGCGACGGAGTGCTCTTCCGGATTGGGGTTCGTCATCGATCGTTTCTTCGCGACGACGGCGGCGAACGAAATCGCCGCCGCGCCGAACGGACCCGAGTTCATTCGACGGCTCATGATCGACGCCGTTCGCGCCGTCGCTGCGAAACGTGACGTAATCTGCCCGAAACGAACGATTCCAATCCTCAGCGCGACTCCGGTGGACGTGAGCGGCGCGCGAGCGTTCGACCACGTCGATTACGAGCCTCGCGGTTTGACAAGGTACGAGGACGGAATCATGTGCGACGACGACGTCATGCTCGAGCGTGAACACTGGGTCACGCGCAAGTTTTTCAAACTGTACGTCATTCCCGCCGTGGCGCCCTCGAACGATCCGCGTGCGCCCGGGAAGAAGACTTGGTCGGCGTTCGGCAAGGCTCGCGATTTGCGCGCCGAGGCGGATTCAGACGCGGACGAAGACGAGCGAGAGCCCCTCGTGGTCACTCTGCACGCGATCGCGTCACGCGACGTCGAGCGAAGAAACGACGATCCACTCAGTGTCGCGCGAGCCATCGCGAACGAATGTGTTCTCGAGTTGAACGACGACGAACGCGCATCAATCGTCGTGGAGGCGCTCGCGTGCGCGCTTCGGGACGATTCGGGCGCGCCTTCACACGAGGTCGATTTTGACTCGTCCTGCTCGGGCGTCTTCGTCAGAGCGGTGCGAACAATCGTCGGCGACGCGCACGAGATGAAGAAACGAGCCGTCGTGTGCGTGCGAACTTCGGTGGACTCGGTGGAGAATTTGATGGACTCGCTCGAGTCGTCGATGAGCGCCGCCGGGACAGACGCGTGCGTGCTCGTCTCTCGATGCCTTTCTCGCGGTCGTCACTTCGTCCTGTGCGACGGAGACGTCTTAACTCGGGATATGCTGGCGTGCGCGGCCTCTCGTGGGATCTTCGCCGACGGAGGCGTGTTCACGGCGTCCACGGACGGCGACCACGGCGTCGTCGCCGCTCGATTCATCCGTCGAGAGTTTCGCGTGCGCACTTCGCGCGTCGAGGATGTCGACGCCCTCGTCGATATCGAAGCCGAGGCTTGGCTAGAAACGCCAGAAATGCGAACGTCTCTGCAGACCGTGCGTGATCGAATCGAGAAGAACGCCTCGATGAATTTCGTCGTCGAGGACATCAGGACTGGATGCGTTCGAGGCGTCATGTATACGCAATACGTCGATGACGTGGAATCCCCCTTGAATGCGATTTGGGAGACAAAGGAGTCCAATCGTCGCGAGGTAGGATCGACGAACGTCGTTCAGCTCCTCGATGTGTTCGTCGATCAGCGATACGGCGCCCTGTGCGCCTCCGCTGCGATTTCCGTCGGGCAGGAGCTTCGCAATCACGTGTTGAGCTTTGCCGAGCACTCGGGAGTGCAGCAAGCGTGCGCCGTCACTCGCACACGCGGGTATCGGGCGACGCAACAGACGTCACCGAGCTTAACGTACGACGAATACGTCCACGGCGACGTCCTGGACCGTGGGGTATTTTTCCACACGTCCGCCGGCGCCGAGGTTCTGCGCGTCGTTCGTCCGTGGCGATCGAGAGATTACGAAAACGACGGGAACGGTGTTCTCATTCGGTACGACGTGCGCGAGTACGCGTACACAAATGCCGTTCGTCGCGGTCGAAGCGCCCTAAAGCTCTCGAAGCGACGACCGAGCGACCCGACGCGTTCGGAAGGGCGTCCGTACGTCAACTCAATCGAAGCCGTCGCCTGGGAAGCTCGAGCGCAAACGTTCCCAGTGATCGCGTAAACGCGTCGGTCGAGACCATCACGGCTCGGTCACAATTTTGTTGTTTATCTACTGTCACGATTACGTCGTTCGCGCGCTAAGAATCCGTCGCGCGTCGCGCGTAAATCCATCGCGCGTCGCGCGTAAATCCATCGCGCGTCTACATCTCTCCGCACTCCGCGATGACGCACGGAAGCTTCGGCTTATTCCCCCCCGTCGTCGCCACGTTCTCAATCTTCCTGATCACCAACATCCCATCCCCCAAAACCCGTCCGAACACCACGTGCTTATCGTCCAACCACTCCGTCTTCGCACACGTCACGAAGAACTGACACCCGTTCGTATTCGGCCCGCTATTCGCGCTGCTCAGCAGTCCCGCCCCCGTGTGCCTCCCCACGAACGCCTCGTCGTCAAACTTCGACCCATAGATCGACACGCACCCCGTGCCGTCGTTATTCACGAAATCACCGCCCTGAATCATGAAATCTTTAATCACGCGATGAAACGTCGACCCCTTGTACCCGCGCGGCGCCCCCTCGCGCGTCCGAAATTCCCCAACGCACAATTGTCTAAAATTCTCAGCCGTCCTCGGCGCGACGTCGGCGAAGAGTTCGAACGTCACCCGTCCCGCGGGCGCGCCGCCGATGGTGACGTCGAAGAAGACGATCGGGTTCGACGCCGTCGTCGCGCGGTCGTGCCATTCGATCGATCGTCGATCGCTCATCGCCCGTCGTTCGCACCGCGTCGAGTCTTCACCGTCTCACGCGCTCGGCGCGCGCGCGCGAACGTGCGACGCGCTCGGCGCGCGCGCGCCAACGTGCGACGCGCGCGTCGGTCGGGACGCGCGCGGCGATCGCGGATGAGTGCGGCGCCGACCGCACTCGCACTCGCGCGTTCTTCGCCGGCGACTCCGACGAACGCGCGCGACGCGACACCGAGCGATATATGGCCGACGACCTCGTTTTTGGTGCGTCGCGCGCGCGCGCGGGCGACGCGAAGGCGCGATTGGAGCGTTCGGGCGATGGGATGATTCGAGGGCGACGATGGGGATCTGCGCGATCGACGCCCGCGCGCGTGCGTGGGACCACGCCCGCGCGTGGGACGCGTTGGACGTCGAGCGCGATGGTCGAGCGGCGTGTTTTGCGCCCTCGACCGTCGCGCGCGGTGGCGATGCGGGGACGGACGGGGGTGACGGATGACTGACGACGCGCGCGGCGACGCAGCGAACGATCCCTTTGCGAACGAAGCGCTGGACTTTGGTGACGCCGAGGATAAGCCCAAGAAGAAGGAAAAGAAGGGCGAGACCGCGGACTCGGTGCAGGGTAATTACATCCACATTCGCATGCAACAGCGAAACGGGCGGAAATCGCTGACGACGGTGCAAGGCTTGAACCCGAAGATTAACCTGAAATTGGTGGTCAAGGAGTGTAAGAAGAAGTTCAACTGCAACGGATGCATCGTCGAGGACTCTGAGCACGGAGACATCGTGCAGTTGCAGGGTGATCAACGGAAGAACATCGCGCAATTCTTGGTGGACGAACGGATCAGTAAGAAGGCGCTGATCAAGGTGCACGGGGCGATTTAAATCGCGACGCGGAAACGATACGCACACAGTTTACGAATAATACGAAGAAACATTGGAATCGTGGTGCACTGACGAAGAACCCAGTCGCGCTGGGGCGCTTTAGCCTGATCGCGCGCGCGAGACGCGCGCGGTTGTTAGAGTGTAGGTTGACGGTGTAAATAGATTCAGTTGTTGCTTGATAAAAAAATCGCTACTTGTCCGAGACGCGCGCGTCGTCGGTCGTCCCCTTCGCATCATCCTCGCTAATTCCCGTCTCATCACCCTCACTCGGCGCGCTCCTTCGCGCGTTCGGTCCCCAAGACCTCGCGGTCGAGTTCCTCGCGCGCGCCTGCAACCGCTTCTCGCTCACGCCTCCGCCGAGCGGCCCGCTCACGACCACGTTCCTGTAGTGCTCCCCGCTCGAGGTCATCTTCAAAACCCTAAAATTCAACAGCTCCCCCACGATCGGTCCCTCTATTCTCTTCCCCGTCGCCCGCTCGTGCGCCGCCGCCTTCTCCGCCGTCTGCGGCGGCGCTCTCCCTCGAAACGCTCGCGTCGGACAAAACGCAATCACTCCCGCGATCCCGACCGCGTACCCCCCGTTCACCGCGTTCAATATCCTTCCCTTCACCGCCTTCCCCTGATCTCTCGCCTCCAGCAACTCCCGCCACACCCGTTCTCGAGATTTTCGTTTTCGCAACCCGCTCGTCTCCAGGTCCAGCGTCCCGATCGGGTTGTTCATCCACGTCACCCTCGCCTCCACCACATCGCCCACGCGCACCTCGGGGTTCTCGAGCTCGGATAAACGATACGTCACCACCCCTCGAACGCCCGTGCGCGCGCGCGCGACGCCGTTGCGTTCGTCGACGGCGACGATTTTCGTCGACAGTACTTTTCCTTGAAGATCCGGCATTAAAGCCGGATCATTCGCGTCCAGAGCGCTCGCGGCGGCGAACGCGCGTCGCCCCGCGACGCGATCGACGCGCGTCAGCGCGCGCGCGACGCGGGCGAGCATGGTGCGGTCGTCTCGGGCGCGTCTTCGAGTGAGGGTTTGGGCGAAATGAACAACAGTCGACGCCGCAGACGGTGACGACGTCGTGGGCGCGAACGATGGCGCCCGTCGCCGTGAGCGTGGGCGCACAAATCGCGCGCGCGGACCGCGGACGCGGCGCGCGGCGAAACGGAGGTCCGACGGCGCGCCGGGCGAGGATTTTCGAAGGATTTTCCAACTGGAGCAATTTCGAAATCTTCGACTCGAACCGCCGTCGCGTCGCGCGCGCGTCGCAGGCGAGCGATAAAACGCCCTCGCAGGTGTCCATGGATGCGATTTGGGCCGAGGCGCACCCGAAGTATTTACACTCGAGCGCGAGCGCGGAGGCGTTTTGCGACGAGCTCGACACGGCGGACGACGAGCAACGAAGACGCGAGCGAGAGACGCGCGCGAGCGGTGCGAGCGCTTCGAGCGCGAGCGGCTCGGAAGATGTGACGGCGGATTACGTGTGGTTGGCGATTCGCGAAGAGGCGCGAAGGGACGCGGCGAAGGAACCGATGTTGTCGAGTTATCTGTACGCGTCGGTTTTAGCGCACGACTCGCTCGAGCAGAGTCTTTCCTTTGTCTTGGCGAATAGGTTGGCGGATAGCGTGTTACTTCCGACGCAATTGATGGAGATTTTCAATTCCGTTTTGGTCGAGGATGAGAGCGAAGATGGGAGGCTTTTGCGCGAAGCGCTTCGCGCGGATATCGCCGCTTTTAAGGAGCGCGACCCGGCGTGCGTGGGGTACGCGCACGCGCTGTTGAACTTTAAAGGGTTCCACGCGCTCGAGGCGCATCGCATTCAGCACGTGATGTGGCGTCGTGGACAGAAATTGATGGCACTCGCGTTGCAGAGTAGGATATCGGCGATATTTTCGTTGGACATTCACCCCGCGGCGAGGTTAGGAAAGGGGATCCTCATCGATCACGGCACCGGCGTCGTCATCGGCGAGACGTGCGTGATCGGGGACTCAGTGAGCATCTTACAAGGGGTGACCTTGGGTGGGACCGGGAAGGCGAGCGGTGATCGCCACCCCAAGATTGAGTCACACGTCTTGATCGGCGCGCACAGCACGGTGCTCGGGAACATCAAGGTCGAGCGCGGGTCGATGATTAGCGCCGGGAGCCTGGTGTTGAAACCGGTGGCCCCGCACACGATCGTCGCGGGATCTCCCGCCAATGTCGTCGGCAAGGTTCGCGATACCAAGCCCTCGCTTGCGATGGATCATCACATCACCCCACGAGCGCCGACGTTTTGCGACGATTTAGAGCAAGCGGTGCGGCGCCAAGTGGACGAGGAGCGCGAGCGATGGAAGGGTCACGATGCGCAAAAAATTCGATCGCACGTTGTCTCCGCGGATGAAAAGCGACGTCGTCGACGCGGATGATGATAAAATCGAAAGCTGGTGCGTCATGACAACAGCGAGCGCGTTTTATGGTAGTTCTAATAGGTGATTGTGAAATGTGGCAAAAACCCGCGAAACGTTGAGTCCCGTCCTCGTCGGTCTCCGAGCCTCATTAATCGAACGGATCGATGCGCGGATCGTGTTCAGTGGCGAGCGCCATGCCCGTGCATAAACAAGACGTGCACATCACCTTGGCCGTACCCGAGCACGTCGGACAGATGCACCTCGATCCGCTCGTGGGATCGATCAAGCGTCCTGGACGCTTGCTCATCGAACACTCCGCGCACTGCAGATACCCGCTCCCCTTACAGTACATGCAAATCTTCTTGCGCTGCTCCTTGACGTTTTCAATCTCAATCACGAAAAACGCCGAGATCGCCCCCACGGCGCCTCCGGTGAAGGAGGCAACGATGGGATCGACCTGCGCCAACTGCGCCGGCAGGTGCAAGCCGTCTATGAACTCCGCGTACGACGTCCCGCCCAATCCGAGCTTCACCTCCGCCATCGGCGCGATCAGTCCCCCAAAGAGCAACAACATCGCCACCGCGGCCCCCCAATATATCCTGTAATCCTTCACGCTGTCCTCCGTCAAAACAGGAAAGCCCGGTATGACGCTCACAAACTCCCTCGGTTCCACCGTCTCGTCATCCTCCAACCCGATCGTCTTCACCCGTTGCTGCACTCGCAACCGCCGCAATTCCTCCATCAACAAAAACACCCGCTGTCGTCGACTCTCAATGTTCTGCGCGATCTCCCCAGCCTGCATGTCCGCGAAGTCCACGACGCTGTTCCGTCCCTCGATGATGCAAAAATTCTCCGGCAACGACGTCGTGCCCGTCTCCATCGCCATCGCCGCCAACTCCGTCGCCATCGTCGCCGCGCTCTCATCCGCGTCCGTCGTCGCGCTCGACCCCGGGGCGTTCTCCGGCGTCGCTCGCGTCGGCGTCAAAGTCGATCGCGTCGAGCGCGGTCGCGCCATGCCGGTCGCGCCCGACGCGCGCGCGCGACCCGTCGCCCGCGGGCGCGCGCGCGCATCGCGCGAGACGCGGACGCGGACGCGCGCGCGCGCGATCGCGAACGGCATCGAGCGCGCGCGCGCGGGGGACTCGCGCGCGGGCGACGGGCGTATCGTCGCCATGGGCGCCACACGAGGGACTCTTTCTTGAGTCGTGACTCGTGACGCATGACCGGCGGGTCTAGGGTTCAGCGACCGCGCGCCTGCGGGTGCGACGATCCATCGCCACACGAGGGACTCTTTCTTGAGTCATGACCCGCGGATCTAGGGTTCAGCGAGCCGTCGACGTCGCGGGCGGCGACCGTCGACCGTGGATGGCGAGTCATGACTCCATAAAGAGTCCCCCGACCGCGCGATCGACGCCCCGACCGCCCCGCCGACGCCGCGCGACGCCACCGCGCGCGCGCTCGACCGTCGC